TCCTTCTCCGCTACTAAATATGTATTGGGAATTTGTTCAATTGTCAACAAATGGAATAGACAACATCAATTTAGGATTTGTCTGTATTTAAAGTCTTGTGATTAAAGCTTCAGTGACTTTATGGCAAAAACAAGTGCTGTTGCTACATTTTTTCAAATGTTTTTATCTAGCACTGATTAATTCCAGTTACAATATTGAATAATAGCTGTACACTCTTGTTACATGATATGTAATTGTGCACATTTTTTCAGTTTCCTCAGTTACATTTTACTTTCATTCAGTGGTTGCTGCTAACTGGAATCCCAATTGTACTTTGTCAGTTGCAGGTAAAAATTCTGTAATTCCCTGTTTAAGATTCTTTCTTCTTGTTTCTTTTGTTGTTGTTGTCTTTCAGGGTGACTCTGGAGGTCCTCTGCTCTACAATGGCATTGCAGTGGGCATTACCTCTAATGGTGGAAAAAAGTGTGGTCAAATTAAAAAGCCTGGAATTTACACTATCATCTCCCACTACACTGAGTGGATTGACAACACCATGTCCCAGCAGCCTGCTGCAACACAGGACCAGAGCAGTTAAATAACCTTTAAAGTGTTTTAGCAGCATATATTACAGCAGCTATCCACCACAACCCTGCTTCCACTGAGTCACTTATTATTAATTTACATAGATATGAAGCTAATGTGTTTATGTGTTAGACAGAAGTTTTCCTTTCTCATTTGCAACGAATGCATGGACATAGAGATAGAAAGAGATAACACCACTTTATAAAGGAATCAATAAAATAGTTTATCACATTCAGATGTCATGTCTCTCTTGAGTTGTTTAGTATCTTGTACAATACTGTAAGTGTCGCATGGATGCAGTACATAACAAAGACAGACAAACATCAACAAAAAAGGTTCCTTAAACTGTATATAAGACTGTACAAACTGTTTCAAAGCAGACTAACTGAAAATAACAAAAGACATAATTAAAATGTGAAATAAGATTATAGCATACTACGTCATATATTGAAGAGAAATCAGAGAGTTAACACCACACAGCTGTAATGAAATCAAAACAATGTTTTGCAACCATCTTATTGTTTTTAAGCAGTTGTGTCAGTTTGTTGGCAACTGAGTATGTCTGAAGAATGTTTTTTAAGGATGTTGAGCAATCATGATAGTAACAAGCTGGTCTCATAAACTTGTCAGATGAGTCCAAAAGTATTAACGTATGCAGCTGTACTTCTTCTTTTCCTCCCCTCTCTGCTCCATGCAGATAAATACAGACATTAATAGTTGCTTATTTGTTCTTTAATGTATCTTAAGTTTGGAAAATTCCCACAACACAACCAATTGCTTTTTTAAATTCACAATAATACAATTAATAATAATTTCTCATTTGGTGAACAACCTTGCCTGGCTGTGTCAGTTGGGAATACATCTAAATTTTCAAAAATAAAATTATGATTTTCTGTCTAGTACACATATAGAAAATAGAATAAAATATCCCTTAAATTTAATGGTTTGAGAGTTTGTGAGATTTATTCATGTAGAGCGCCCCCAGTGGCATTTTCTGCAAGCAACCCATAGCAAATACATAAAAGCAATACATTTACACTGTCATTCCATCCAGTGCAAAATCATTGCAGGGCTGATTCCTCAAAGTTGAATATATTCTTCTCTGACACCATCTTAAAAAAAGAACCTAATAATATTGTTTGATGATTTTATCACACTGTAAGGGTGTTGCATTTACTGCATTGACCACCCTGCCTGTGAGTATAGAAATCAAGCATCTCTCTCAGTAGTTCGCTTCCAAAGCCCCCTCTTTTCTCTCCTCACTTCATTTATTCCTCTCCTGCTGCTCCTGCACAGAAAATCTCTTTATTGAGTAGGAGCGGCCTCCTTGTGAAGCTACCAGTGTGTTGATTCCTGAGAGCAGGTCTATCACCTGATGATGGCTCAGAGCATTCTGGGACTGCATTCTGGGAGAAATTCAGCTCATACAACAACATACAACAACAGCTCCCACACTTCTGGTGAGACCCTGAAGGGTTGCATGGCCTCTGGCCACGTAGTCATTGATCTTCTGAGACCTGTGCTGGTCCCCATCAAAGCAGACAAAAAGGACGATGTCCTTGTGCTTTGCAAAGTCTCGTCCAAAGATCTTCTCTAGGTCCCCAAGGATCTTACACCCTTGGTGAAGCGCCCATTTTGAAGCACCAGGAGGAAGATGAGGGGTCCAGTAAAGGATGTCCTCGTTCTGCAGCTTTGGGGTGTCCACCAGGATAAGTTGCCTCCCTGCTGCAAACTCTTCCTTTCTATCACAGGACAAGGTGGACTGAGGGGTTTATGACTGAACTCATTAGTTGAGTATTGATTACCTGCTTTCTCTAGGATTAGATATAGAACAGAAGACTTCCCGTGCCAGAAAGACCAAACAGGATGACTGACATCTTCTTTCTGTCATCGTCCTAAAGTCAAAAAGAAAAGGAAACTGGCTGTTTGAAAACATTCTCAGAAAGAATAGAACATGAAATATTTTAACCATAAGTAGAAAATAAGAAAACTCGCTTATTTGTTAAAACTGATCTGGCTATCTCTAAAGCATTTTTATTTTGAATTCCAGGTATAAAACTAAATATCAGATATTTTATACTATAGATAATGAGTAATGAATGCACATATGAATGTTTAACTCTATCACCCTGACATTCTGATAAAGCATCAGTGTATTAGTAAAGTAAAAATGTAGTGTTATGTTGTGAGAAATTTTTGAAAGTGCGCAATATTCTAAATAAAATCTAAATACGAATACCTTTATTGTCAATGTACATGTACAAGTAGATTCAGTGTGCCATGCCAAGCTACAAGAGGGAACTAAATATAAATTATGCATTATGGAAAAAAAAATGTGCATGGGTCACTGTCTTAGACATCTCTGTACGTCCATGTATTTGTGTAGGGTTGTGACTTTTTGTGATCTAAAGTGTAAAGTATCCAAGTGAAACAAAAGTTGATAGAAATCACATGGTCCTGTTCCAGTAACCACTGTACTGATTTGTACAAATGTGTTTGCAGTATAGGAAAGAGATGGATCTGTATTTTTATTTATTTAAGCACCATCACTGGCATCTGTAGCTGCAACATGTCTCTGTAGCTTATCACAGCCTCTTCAGGGCACCCTCTTTTGGTCTCATATTGCTTTATTTCAGCCGCCTCCTTCTTTCCGTGGCATGTTTCACCTTCAGCTTCTCAGTTTCTTTAGCTCTTCTCTACTCCTATGTTGAACCAGTTACTTGAAGGCCTGCTCCTTCTCCTCGGCGTCTTGTACCTTCTGAATCATCGTCTTAATAGGTGAATCTTCTGTGTTCCTTTTCTTGGCTTCAATCAGTACAGCCTCTGTATGGCCAGTCACACCATTTTCATTCAGCATGTAGTCGACAATCTCAAGGAGAGCGCACAGTTCGTCACTTGCTGCAGATGCTGTGATTCTGCAGTATCTTCTGTCGCACATGTTTATATCAGGTATTTTAGAGCTTCTGCTCCACAGTGTGCCTGCAGTATCACTATCATTCTTATTTTCATCTTTCTATGATGTCCACCTTGGATCAGCAGCAGAGATGTACTGATTACATCTGTGCAAGACTTAAAGCAGCCATCTACTTCCTGGCTGATGCCCTCTGTCATGTCTGTTTCAAATATGCATAGTACAAGCTGATCAGGCGACCATCCGCTGAAACTTATCTGAAGATGTTGATCCTCAAAGCTACTGTATCCTGTGGCATCTGCCTTGTGTTAGTTATGCTGTCTGCCAATTAACACAGTGATAATTTGTCAATTACATGTATACATTTTGAGTATAAACACCAAGGAACAATCTGAGTACTATGTTTTTTTTAAATAAATAACTGTTTTCCATTAATTTATTCAATTGTTCCTGTTACAATAATGTGACTGCAACCCAATTGCATCTGTTACTTTTCAGGCCTTGCAATGGCTAACATTGCCCTTGTATTGCAAATGAAATGAATTTGTGATTCACAGCATTGTAGGAAAAAACTGATATAAAAAAGAATTATGTACTGTGCAACATGTTTTTTTGCAGTTACTCTCACAGGTCTGCTTTAAGATCCTTTTCAAGATTCTCCAGCTCTGAAAAAAAGCATTATGAGGGTAGAAAGATGCTTCCTGATTCAAACATTTCAAGTCAAGGAAATGCATTCCAGCACAACCTAAAACAAAAGTCTCTGACCAAAAACCACATTCACTTTAATAGTGTAGGCTACCTTAAAGGGACCAGTCTCCTGTCCTCAAATACAGTATGGATAATGCCAGTGTTTCAAGAGTCATAGCCTACTAGAAGTGGATGTTTTAAATTGAACCATTCGGGGAATTTACAAACTCTTAATCAGTTGGCCTGGTTCAGTTTTCTTTTCATACCTGACTCTATTAAGTTGCTGCCATGTGCACGATAAAGCCTGAGGTGCTTTCAGAGTCATCCTGTGATTGTTTCTTGTTTGTGTTATTGTAAAATCAGTCTTACTGCAGATATGCAATCAAAACAGAGGGAATAATATATCTTAGTGCCATTACATGGCATAAAATCTGAGCCAACGTCTTGGTCAACATGGTCATCAAAAGGAGAATCAATTTAAATACAAGATTTTTTGAATCTGATTGAATTTACTTCTTTAATTGTTTTCTAGTCACGTAATGACAAGTAAAAACAACAACATGGAATTCACAATTGATAGCACATACATCGCCACCATATGAAGGAACTGCCCCCCACACACAACAATTGAGATTACTGAGGGATTGCACCATCTCCCTGTGCTGCTGCGCGCTGCTGCTCGCCACTGTCAAAACGGCCCAAAACACGGCAGTACTACAGCTTAAAATGGGGGAAACCGCCTAGAAAATTCGGATATATCCCTTTTTGATTACTTGCTTAATTCGGTCTATACCAAACACGGTACTATTAATGCGAAATGCTTAGGATATTAAAATTATTTGTGGTATATATTGTCAGTATTTCCTCAAATTATCATAATGATATTCTGGACCCCCCTAAATATCATATGGTTCGATCCGTTGCTATGCTATCTTGTGTAGACATTCTCCAGGGTGATGGAGAAATGTAGTCGTTCGGCCTGAAAATACACGACGTACCTCGATTCAACACGAAAATTGTGTGAAGCGTGATAACAATTACAATGGCGGGTATAAGGAGAGTTAACGGGAAATTATCGGGAGTCAACCCAACTGTCAGGTAATGTTAATATCGAATTGTGTTTACAGAAAACGCTCCAGCGAATCTGTGAAGCTAACGTCAACACGGCTAACGTTAACGTTAGCGCGAGCAGCTGTCCCTTATTTTTTGATCCACTTATCGATCATTTTAATAATAATAATGACTTTAGCAAGGTGTCTGGCCAGATATGGCAAGGTTACATGCCAGTATTACTCAGATAGCTAAGTTACATAGTAATGTAGCTGTGCTACAACACCCATTCCTAGAAATGCCCCGTACCGCCGAATAACATTTGATGTTGCTAAAAACCTACAGTCTAACGTTATGCTAAAAACCCAACGTTAACGTTTGTTAAAACGAATGTTAACGTTAATGCATAACGAATAGTCTTGATGTATGCAAGTACTTAACGGATGTGTGCAAGTACTTAACGGATCTCATAGGTTAGTTGTGAGGGACCTTTGTGATAATGATCTTAGATATCATAGTTTTGTCATAAATGCAAGATTTGACCAAAAAAATCTAAATACAATGTCCAAGTTACTGGCTAACTTATTTCCAAAGCCGATGGAATTGCTCAGTTGTTCTGAATATGGTTTGTTATCAAACAATGAGATGTGGTTGAACTGTGGAAACTGGAAACAACAAATATGGTGGACTTTTTTTTTTTTTTTTTTTTTTTAAATCCAACTGTTTTTAAGGTTAAGAATAAGGTAGTTATGTAGGTACATTTATTGTCACAATATAACAGGTTATATATTGAAATTGATATAGCAACATTTTAAAAAATGGTGAACTGAAATAAACAATATTCAATGATCAGTGGAGCAGTGCTGAGGATGAATTTCAATTTAAGAGCCTGATAGCTTGGGGGGGGGAGCTGTTCTGCAGTTTGGTGGTGCAGCAGCTGAAACTTCTATATCTCTTCCCAGTTAGGCAGCAGGGTGAACAGGCTGTGGCCGGGTGGGTACTGTCCTTTAGTATCTTTTAGGCTGTGAGTAGGCACCTCACCTCACCGATATCACTGACGCTCGGGAGATGGGTACCAATGATCTTCTGAGCAGTTTTAATCACCTGCTGCACAGCCCTCCGGTCCTGGGCTGTGCATATCCCATGCCAGTTTGTGATGTTTCCAGTCAGGATGCTTTCTATTGCTCCTCTGTAAAAGCTGACAAGAACTTGGCACGGGAATTTGGCCTTCTTAAGCTTCTTCAAGAAATACAGGCTGTTTTGAGCTTTCTTCACCAGCGTGGAGATGTGATATGACCATGTGAGGTTTTCTGTGATGCAGATTCCAAGGAACCTAAAACTGTTCACCTGCTCCACCTCAGCTCTACTGATGTAGACAGGAGTGTGTGTCTTTATCTCCTGTTTCCTGAAATCAATGATCAGCTCCTTAGTTTTGCTGTCGTTGAACATTTTAGCTCAGCATTCTCCTGAAGGTAATGTTAATAACTAACGAAGTCATGTCTGTATATATTTTTTAATGTTACATGTTTTAGTTGCCATCGCCTGCGTCAGGTCCAGTCTCTGCTCTTTGATGGTGGCGCTGCCACTCCTGATGGCATCCTCTGCTCTCTTGGTATGTTAAGTTGCAGCGTTTCTTATCTTTACCGATATTTCTTTATCTGGTCTGGTTAGCTGCACTGCCAACTGCTAAGGCTAGAAGAAATGAAAGTCATTGTTTGTGTATTTTAGGAATTGACAGCAGATATAATGAGGGGTGCACTGAGCTGGCAAAATACCTGTTCTATGAACTATATGGAAGAAATCAGCTCAATATGGAACATTTCCTTGAGGAGTTTCCTGAAGAAATGCTGGATGGTGAGTTTTTTCAACTGTTTCTTATGTCATATTTTTAATCCTATTTTTGTGCTAGCTATAGTTTCTATCTACTCTAACAAATTACTTTTCTACTTTTCAGATGTAATCCTGCTGATCAAGGCAGAATGTGTTCATCTGTACTGCAACCCAATGAACTACTGTTACCTGTTGCCCTATGTGTCGCACTGGAGGAACCTGCATCTCTACTGCATGACAGAGGCAGAGGTTAAAAGCCCTCTTTCTCCCCTACAGGGCTATCATTTCTGTTCATACATTTCCCCTATGCTTAAGATAGGAGTAGGAGACAGAAGGGCATTTGCCTATTAGACAAGTTGGTTTAAATGTTGCACCTCATCTACAGTGGCTGCACAGTTATAGCCAATGATATAATGTGTTGTAGTTTTTACCAATGTACCTGCAGTTTGTGCACAGGAGGCTGGAAGTATTAATGATTGCCACGCCTCTTTCATTGCTAACAGTTGTAAATATGACTCTTTCTAGCAGTGTTTGTAATTGTGATTGTTATTCCCGAGAAGTCCTTTTATAAATTGTCTGCCTCTCTTCTTTTTCCAACTCCACACACAGTATGAAGATGAGGAAGCAGCAGAGGAATTCAAAATCTCCAGTTTTGTCACAATGGTGCAGGACTGCTATCGTATCGGAGTACCTTTCAGCTCCATCGGTACATATCACATTTTAATCTCCACATTCATGCACAGTAGTGAAAAATGTTCGTAGACATTACATCTCAGTAAGCTGGAATACAGTATAGCTTCAATAGTTTCATCTACTTGACATCGATACGTACCAACAGCACAAGTAAATATACTTGCTCTACTGTTACTTTTAGGACACATCCAGAGGTTTGATATGTTTATGGTGGAAAAGTGGCCCCTTATTCAAGCATTTGCCCTGGAGGGCATTGGTGGAGGAAGCTTTTTTACCATCAAATACAAGGTACCTTCAAACAAAAACAAAAAATGAAGAAATTTCATATAGAAGTATTTGCAGCACTACATTGTACTTGTGGTCTTACACTTGTTTTACCTTGTTTCATGTATGTATGCTTTTCCAGCTAATGGACATGAGTGAGAAGTTGTGGCAGGTTTACAACAGACTCGACCCAGTGTCTCTGGATAATGTCCTCACAGAGGTAACACTGAGATTCTTTTTCGTCAGCTGTTCTTACTTTGACAGGATTCTTTTGCATTTAACAACAAGGCCTACCTGTGACATGTGGACCTGCTTCTAAAATGCCCATGTCCATAATTCCATTATAAAGAATAATCAACATTTTTTTAATCAAGGATCAAAGGAATTGTGAACATTTGTCCTCCTTCTCCATAAATGTAACAATATCCAAATCCATAAAGGCTATGCTAATTAATTAGTCAGAAAGTTTAAGGCTTTTTCAGAACAAATGCGAATCTATCGCAGGTCTATTTAAAAATTCGAGCCCATCTGTGCCTATTCACACGAGTTCGAAACTTCCGTATTTAGCTGTGTAGAAGTCAATGTCATATTCTGTTCACCCTTCACACAACAAGATGGACAATGATGGATTGATCCATTTGGTCTCACTACATACAAAGAAAAGATGGAGAAACCTGGGATAGCTACATTAAGAGGAGGAAGTAGAATAAATCCACAATGGAATAATGAGCCTGCCACCAGTATGTAGAGTTGAGTGTGGGTTTGTTATAGTAAAAATGTTTTGTTTACACACCACTACAATTCATAACTTCTAACTTTTTGATTATTCCACCACTACGCCATTTCATTCACAATAATTGATGACTATGATCAATCAATGATTGTGTGATGGTGTGAAGCTTTCATTTTCAGTGGGAGTGAGTGTGAATATTTATGTCAGACTTGGTGTGAAAGGTTTGAACTCAAAAGATCATCAACGTTTCATGTTTTGTGACCAGAGTGAGAAGGCCTTTAGTCACTCATAAATGACATTATTACGTGTTTAATATGTGAAGGTGTGAACATCACTATTCAATATATGCACTCTAACCTTGGTGTTCTTTGTCGTATGTTAGGACTTGGTTAACTTTGAGAAGCAGTGGAGTGGTTTTTTCTCCAGCATGGACCTGGAGAGCCATCTCTCCATCTTGGAGCTATCTGAAGCACAGGCAGGAGAGGTATGTTTATTGCCCACATATTCCTTCAAAAAATAGAAAAAAACATCTGGACAATAATTTACTGCCTTTTAACAGAGTCATATTGTGATATAGTAAGTAATTTTTATAATTATATTGTTGGACAAATATTTGTCTAGGTTAAAATGTAATATACATTTTGTTATTTGATTTAGATCATGGTATGAGAAAAGTGCATGAAAGGATGTGTACAGTATGATAAACAGTGTTTAAAAAACATCAAAATCATGCTTAAATTAGTATCATACTTCCTCCATCCTCCTGCACCTTGTTCATGAGTGGTGGAGTATCATAAGTTAGCATCGAAGCACCCACATTGTAGGCTGTTACAGTATGCTTCCTCTTCAAAAACTGAAGAAGGACATGCGAAAGGAGGTGTAGAACTGGACGGAGAGCAACTGACTGTTTACTTAAATGACTACTTTTGCGTGCATTTGTTATAAACCTTATGTAATTTACAAGAAATGTTAAAAGTTTTTATCAAATTTATTCAATGTCTGGTCTTAGTAATCAGCCAAATGTACTTATGTCCTTAAAGTGTATTCTCATCAATCCACAGGCATTCCGTACTTATTACTCTCATGGACTGATCTCAAGCAACATCACAGATAAAAGGTATTCTTCCTATTCAACAATGTCTAAATACTAATATCATTGTCATCTGTAAACTTGTAGTCTGTAGAACAGAAAATACTATTCCCTAATCAAATGTTTCTTTATTCCAGTAAAAGTCAGCAGCCCTTTGTGTTGTTTGGGAAGCATTCCTCCTTAGAGGATTTGGAGAGTTATTTGTTCAACTTCCCCTCAGAGAGTCATCAGGTCCGCAACACAGGGCCTCAAGGATCTACAGCCAGACACATGGTGAGAAGCAGCTAACACTGTAAACTTCTCACATGACTATAGAACTCTTATTAATGACCAAAAGTGGTTAGTAGATCAGCCACTGTGAAAACTACTCAAGTTAACGAGAAATACTGTCCTGCAGCACCACCTGGTGAAGTATTTTGGTGCCACCAGTGGTTAGTGATGTGCAGAACAGCAATTTGACAAATCATCTCATGCCAGGAAACGTGATTGCTGTTCCTCATTTTGCACCACTTTTGTCTGTGTCAATTGGGAAAGCGGAATATGCCATGATTGTATCTTTAAAAAGAAACACTTTTTTTCCATTAGATCCTGCAGTGTGTGGCTCCCAAAGGACCTCTAGCTTGCTCTCGAACTTATTTCTTTGGGACCACCCACACTCCATACCTTGGTGAGGATTTCCTGTATGACTTATTTAATATTTATTAACAGCTTATATGTAAAATTATGAGTGGGGTTTGTAAATATTTTACTTTATTGTCCGTAACATAAATTTCAGTGGTAACCCTACTGTAGAGCATAGTTAATTAATCTGGCGCTCTCTTACTAACCTTCTGTCAGGAATTGTTGTGTGAAATGTTGCTTTGCATGACGTTAAATGCAGCATCCAGAAAGGGCTTAGCTGACCAGGGGTTAAGTGTAAGAGAGAAGAGAATCCCTTGTTTGTATTGTCAGAATATGATTTGTTGACACTTCCGGTCTTTCACCCACAGGCAATCAAAACACTGAGCAAAAGAAAACAGAAGTCTTGTAAGTGATTTAATTTAGGATCTCATAATTAATATTTTTCCCTGAAAGCTATTGGTTTGCTATTGTTAAATGTTAAAAAATGTCTGAATTACATTTTTGTTTGTTTGTCTTTTTCAGACTTTTGTCACAGATTTATTCAGCTGCAGTTCAGGCAGTCCTTTCAGGAATCAAATGCTACTCCTGCACCTCCAGTGCTACCAAGGTAAGAAAAAAAAGAGCAGCTTTTAATATGTTTCTTTCAGCATGTACTGTTTCATGTACAGTTTATCATTAAGAAATGTTTATTATTGTAGGCTAAGGATGTAGCAGAGAACACCTTTCTAGTGGCTTTGGACTCACTGAATTTAAATCAGTACCGCAGTTCTCTCAGGTACAGATTATTTAAAAAATTTCACTATCGTCCACTGGATGAGACTTTCAGCCAAGCAGGAATTGGAGTGTATTGTCTGAATTGGTTTTATTCTTCTTGCCGTAGGTCCAAATGTGAATTCAGCATTCAAGCAGTGAATAAGCAAGGGAGGTGGGTGTTAACATGTTCTTATTGGTCATTTTTCTCACACAGATCCTTGGGCTTTTCATTCTGTTATTTGAATAATTCACACTGTGTAATATGTGATTTCAGATCTAAAGAGCCTGTTTATTTATTTTCAGGATCATTCCTCTGACTGATGAAGAAAGCCGTTATGTAGTGAAAACGGTAAGATGAGAGAAGCATTTATTTGCTTGACCAAATTACTTGTCTATATAATTTTCCTCTGAAAAGCTTCTTTTTTTTCATTTGACTAATTATACTTTTTTACTAAGGCCTCCATGACTGTCCATGACATTCCAGACTTGCAGTGGGACAGTGGGGACCTGGGCTCCGTGGTCTTCTCTGAATCCTTCTTGGAGTCCAGCATCAACATTCAACAAAAAGGTACCATATTCATTAGATTAGGTCCAATTAGAATGGATTGCTGATTGATTCCACAAAGGAAATTTGATTTACATAATAAGCAGGACAAATCCACAGGTCACCGCTAACAGAAAAGGGCAAAAGTCATTTTGAAACAACGGAGCACTTGTCTCTAATAGCCTATTTCCTGAGGATCATATTTGTGATTTATCTTCTGTGTTTGTCATTCTTTGGCTTTGTTGTTTGTGCTTCATTTTAAAGAAGTGCGTTTCCTCTCCTGCTCCACAGATGGCACTGTGTCCTTAGACAGCTGCTACACCATCCTGACTACAACTGTGCCTCGCTATGCCTGCTGGCTGGTATGTATGGGGCTGAAAGTCAATTTCAGATTAACGTGTTAGACAGAATGTTTGGATACAAAGTTAGTTAAGATATTAGATAGATTTTTACAGTTAAATTTAGTTAAGACAATTTATTTCAGAAGCATATTTCAGAAGTATTTTTTGTTATATTTGTTAAAATTATATCCCAACAGCAATCAATAAATCAGATGCTATGACAAAATGTAAAACCTGACAAAATCAGACCGAATGAATTGTCCTGCATGCACTCTGCCTGTGTCCTCACTGAAAATATGTTTTGGGGGGAGACCTGAAGGGAGGGGGTGGTATTTTTTCAGTTGTATGCATTCAAATGTTAGCTCTCTCTTGCTAGTTTCTCCAACACAAAATTAACATTTTAAGTCTTTATACAGGAAAAACATTTGGTTTCATGGAAATTTTTTCAATTGTTTGTTGTCTAAAGTCTTATTATTATGTTGTTTTTAGATGGAATCTGATGTCAAGCAATCTGAGCAAGCCCAGCAGCTTACTAAGGTAAGTTCAGAAGCTTCATGTGTTCAAGACAGTGCATGAATACATGCTTTCATATACATATATACTGTGTGTGTCTTAAACAGAAAGAAGAAGGCACTTGTTTGGGAACTGCTCTGACTGTAGCAGATGCTGCATATGTGTTCTCCAGCAGCCAGCTCTCCACACCTGAAGAAGGTGACACTCTCCAGTAGTATTAACATTTCCACCATGCAGCTGACAATGATTCTGAGAACTTAGCCTGGAATCAGTAATCAAAGTCAACCTTACACCACTCTATAAATAAGACTATGGTTTTTTGAATAATAATAATTTATTGAATTAGACTATTTAATTTCTTTTTAATGTCGCAGTACATTTACAAGGATTTATTTCACATGTTGTGGTGTGGCCAATGTCGTACTATAGCCTATGTGACAAAGAGTTTTGATTCTACATTATTTTTAATATTTCTTCAAATGTTAATCTCAGGAAAAATCATTTTCTTCTCTGAGGGACTCCTCTTCATCCATTCTCAATATGGAAGTATTACCCTGCCCAAGGATCACATCAGCAGCATCAAGTTCTATGATCCGGTAATATTTACACTTCCATGTGATATGACAAATACTAGTCCATCTTTAATCGAATCACATATATTCTTTTCTACACAAGCTCTGTTTTGTTATTACTTCATACATGAGTGATTTAAAAGACAGTTATTTGCTTAGTTCCAAATCACACCATGGTAAAACATATAATATGAAGCCATATACAGTTTAGTTTTTGGTACCATCTCGTGTGTCCTCATATTACCAGGACTCGAGCGCTGTGGCATCTCTCTTTGTGGAGTATGAGAGCAGCCTGCTCCCTCACCTTCCATTCCCTCTCCACAGCTCTGACCAGTGTCTGGTCTTTGCTCTTCAGCCCAGGTCTAAGAGCCACAGGGCCTTCTATTCCAAGGTAAGACCTTTAGCCAGTGACCTCTTTCTGGCTTTGAGACTGAAGATACACATCTGAGTAAAGCTGATTCAGTCTCTCATGATCCTTTTATAACATTAATCTAAGGATTTCTTTATAGCAGTGGTTAATGCTATAACAATTATTACATCATTATCACTATTGGTATATCATTTAATTGTTCAAAATAACATGGTAAAAACTTAAATTCATGTTAGACCTGTTTTATCAGATACTGCTCCAGCTGTATGAACCTAATCTCACTTGATTTCAGATTTTGTCAGTGTGGCAAACCTCTGAATCTGGACTCACTTTGCAACTGGTGGACCAAGAGCACCTGACCTGGAACCAGAAAAACATGTAAAATAACTTCATCTACTTTACAAATTAAGAATAGTTGTCTGTTAGCGAGATTCCAGTGAACATTCCTAAGATTATGGAAAGTTAGATTTTGCCTTTGAAATATCACAGACACTTTCAGAATATATGTAGATAAAAAAGGATCAGTTATAAAGAAATCAAGCCAAATATGTAAGTTTTAATAAAATGTGGTACATTGACACCATTTGAATTTTCCCAGTTTTAGAAAAATTTTAAATACATTTGAATATATTTTACTAATACATATTATTACCATTATTAACATGTTGATTGTGATTCACATACTGAGTAATGAATCAGTCTTCTAGATGCTATATAAGGTTGGTCATTAAGATTAACCCTGTTCATTAAATCACGACAAAATGAATTGTTTTGACTTCTTTTTTCTCAGGCACACCAGACTGCAGAAACTGCACGACAGTCAGGAGCCACCAGTGGCCAAACGCAGAGGCAGCCTGAAGACTTCTTACTCCCAGCTGCCAGAGCAGGACATGTTAGTACATCCTCAAGTCACTCAGTGCTTCACACCAAACAAGTAATAAAACCTGATGCTAGGTATTGCTTAATTATGACTATGTAATGTACTTGTACTTGTATAGCGCCTTTCTAGTCAGTATCTTGCCCAAGGACACTTCGACATGCAGCCTGGGGGAGCCGGGATTGAACCGCTCTACCTCCCGAGCCACAGCCGCTATGTGTTCCCAATAGTATTTAGGCCTGTGTTTCTTGATGCAGTGTATTAACCAATGGTGACCATCCACTCTTGGAAGGTCTTTTCTGTAGAGAGAAAGTATTAGATATACAATAATGTAGCTTAATTTTCTGGCCCAATGTGCACAAACATTTTCTTTTCTGACATAATAGAGCTCAAACAAAGAATACTACATACAAGAATAACTTACCAGCTTTTGGCATCCTCTTGGTCTTCCCAAATCTTTCCTAAATCTGTCATCTGGCATCATTAGACATCCAACTGTTTAAAGCATTTACACACCCTGTACACTGCTAAAAAAAAAATTCTGATTGTGTGCTTTTATATAAATGTATACTGCAAAAACTGTTGATGGAACATATTAGCTGTAAAATAGTTATACTTTCTAAAATTGTAGCACACATCTTTGTCCGTTACCTTACAAACACATTATCAATATACTTTTTTATCAAGTCGCACCAGCTAATTGTGAACCCCATTTCTTCTTACTTACTCGCTGTCTATGCCAGGTTTCTTCAGCACTTTGCCTTGAGTAGTATTGGTCAGGAGCCCATTCTGTATGACCACCTGGGGGTGCTCTTCTCCTCTGCAGAGCTGAGGAATCCAGTAAACTGTCAGGGAGACAAGGTAAGAATATTGACTGAGGTGCAGTGGGTGCCCATTTGATAAATGTTCCTTCAAAGAATGCTGTCTTGTCTGTCTACCTAAGTTTGGCTGATACTATTCATATCTGATATCTGCCTTTTAATGTGTGAAAAGATTGTCATTACCATCATTACTGGACTGCCGGGAAGCCATAAGAATAGACTCTGCAACTTCCTGGTCCAGTTAAACAAGGAACATGGAAGGTGAGAGAGATTTCAACAACAAGGTTTCTTTGAATTTGTGGGGGTTTTTTGTGTGTTTTTCCTCTGTTAACATTTTTAATCTTACATTGAACTACATAGCTGTTATATTTAATAATAATGATAATGAGAACACAAAAATAATACATTTGATTATCATTTCGTCCATAGTTGGGTGGTGTATAAGCCTGGTTCTGAAAGCTGTGACAGCTTCTCAGCCTCTCACCTGCAGCAGTACTTGTCCAGTTTCCTGGAAAGCCAGAGAAGCCCAGGAGGCAAACCCCGTCTGTTGGTGCTCTCACCTGGGTAAGAAAGCCCGCTGATCAGCTTGATACAGCTGGGAACTGAGAGGCCGGGACTCATTCAGTAGAGGAGACAGGATACCCGCAGGGTCTTAAAAGTATTTAAAAAAAATGTTTTCCTGTCCTTTCGTAGGATTAAATTGCCATAACGTCATAAGTAAATACTTTGTGTGTGTGTGTGTGAGACTTCATAATATACTCCGTCTAGTGTGACTCTGATGTTATACGGCAGTACAGGTAACATTCCTGTTTACGTCAGTGTTCAGCTTTACACTCTGGACTGTGGAGTGTTCACGGTGCAAGAGCTCTATCATCCAGCTCTGGTGCGTATCAGTCAGTTGTTAGAAAAGAAAAGAAAACGTCTCTGACGGGCTACTAACAAGCTAACACTAGCTGGTTACCTGAGAATGGGCAAGTGTCTGAAATTCAGAAAGGCAGGCGTATGGACAAGTTGGCGGTTGAGGTAGAGGGCAGTGCCGCTGAGGTTAGTGCAACAAGCAGATCGGCATGCGAGCCAGTCGCAGTATGGCGAGTGCTAATGAAACAGCGGAGCTGGAAGACCCACTGCAGGTCACTGGTCAGTTAATGTTACAACAGCAACGGAGAGACAGGTGTGTATAAGACGAGGACGGTGTCGGTGCGTCTGCGTTGCGCCGCTGTTGTAAAGTTATGTGAATGGAAACATCAAACTAACGTTAACGCACATTAGACTTACATCACCCAAACCGGAGCCCTTATCCCCGCTGCCTTCAAGCCAATACTAGATTATATAGTATTCCAAGCAGCCTTAGATGCAAACACAGAAAATAATTAATAATCACTTAAGCAACTGGAATATTATATTACATTACATTACTTAATCCAGCCAAGTTGTAACTAATTGCAACAACTCATACCACACAGTTTGTTGGTATTTTTTTCTTAGTGCACAAATATTGTATTCATTTCATAGTTGTCATTTATACTGTGGATACTGGGGACATGTCTCCATCACCTTTAAAAACAATTTGTTAAATATGTTCTGAAAATGCCTTGCAGAAATGTTATAAAAACAAATGAAAATACTTCAGAAAGATTTATTTGCTCAATAAGAAAACATGCAATGCAATTTAAAGATAGAAGAAACAAATGTGCATTGTCCAAAGAAAAAAGTTTCTTAAGCTAAAAAACAAGCTGCTGAGTACTGCATTGTATTCTTTCTATTATATTCTTTGAATTGTCACCTGAGTCTTAAATTTAACTTTGAGAATCCTGGGGGTACCCTGAGGAGAGGTGAGCTAAATAGAAGCATTTCATTCCAAAAATACAACAGTGAGAAAATAATGTTATCTGACGTTCAACAATCAATATCCTGAATACTAATATCATCCTAGTACATAAAACAGAGTATGTTGGGTATTCAAACCCAACAATAATAGACAGTATTTTAAGATATTAAAAAAAGAAAAGGCAGAATGAATGTACGGTTCTTTTCCAGTGTGTGATGACTTATCCATTTATAAATGTTCCAACAGATACACAGATGTTCTGGATGTGGTGCAGGCTGTGCTTTTCCACCCTGACCCAGTTGTCCAAGCATGTTTCACCATCGGCGCTGTCACTGCCTGTGTGGACCCCCTCACCTCCTGTATGGAGCACAGGTAACATTTTGTTCTCCAGTATATTCGGTCTCAAAACTGCTGCTGTTTAAAGGAAACAGATAAAATAAGCTTCAACTGCCCTAAAGACATTTATATCAGATAAACACATGTCCATTGACATCTAGCTACAAACTGTTTCTGAGTTGCCATTTAACAAAACCCCACAATATCTAACTGAAGTAGACAAACATTTAAATGAAACCATTTTCAACATACATATTTTGAACTTCAGCATAAGATAATGTCAATATACTAATTTACCTAACTGATAAAAGTAATTTAATTATATCCTGTTCTGATCCAAAGACAACCAGTTTAGTGAGTCTGTTGCACCTTGCAAACTAATCACTTCAGTACATGTCATGCAGCCGTTTCACAGTTAAAGCCCTCGAACAGTGCCTCCTTCTTTGTGCCAGTGTTTTAGGTAAGAAGTTAGCAACAAATGTTAGCGTTTTAAAACGCTATTCAAAAAATTCAAATTTTACGCATTTCACGGAGTTATGTTTTGAAGTAACATATGGACAGACTAGATGATGACAGACAGGGTCGGATGTTGATAAATTGTTGATGCGCTGGAGATTTCCAGGACGAGGTTACATGACACTTTTAGCTATTAAAACTCAAGGCTGGATCCCTTTTACAGATAGGATCATTCCTATATTTAATCTCACTCTCCTTTTGTTACAGGCTTTAGATGCAGCTTACTGAGCTTCTCACTGTCGTAGATTGACTGAGCTGCTCCACACAATATGACATACCACTCCGGTTAAAAGGCTGTTTTCAACTGCACAGCCAAGCTGGGTTGGCCAGAGACACTTAAATACAGATGAAGTCAGTAGAGGGTCTAGTTTTTACAAAATGCTTGAAAAACTACTGCTAATGTCCTTATGCCCCAGAGATTTAGTGTCTAATAATGTGTATAATAATGTGATTCAGCAAAGTAACATCCATAAATACTAAGCATCTATACTGGAAAAATACTCCTACAGTCCTTTAGACAACGTGATTGTCTAGCAAGCTGAGCTTTGTTAATAAATCAACAACATGTTTTGGATCCTGAGCTATAAACATGTTGTGATGACCCTCTAGTCAAACTCTGACAAACCCCACTTGGCTCAACAGTGGAAAAATGTGTAATAAGAGGTTTAGTTAGCAATGTGGTTAGCAATGACTTTTCTATTTGAGGCATCTTCAACAAGCCCCCTATCACTGTCTGTTGCCATAGATTGTTTGGGGGTCTGTGGACCCCACTATGGTGCTAATTGGGTGTGGTTAGTCCAGCTTTGGCCTGACCTGCCTGTCAACCCCCCAGCATAGCCCTCTAATCCTTCAGGTCCACATGTGTGACCAACACACCCTCCTCAGTGAAGCTCATCAGTCAGTCATGATCCATTCTTTGTGATGAATGTAGACAGTTCATTACATCAGGACAGGAAAGATAAATGCCTTTCAAATTGCTGATCCTTCAGCCTGCAGGCTAAGAGCTGCAGGGGAGGGTCTTTGGTGGCATGAGGGGGACTTGGCTCACAATGGTTATTCAGAAAGTGGTGTATAACACAGATCGATTTGAAAACTGAGGATAAATTATGTTAAGATTAAATGAGATTACAGAAAGCTTTTACATTGGTCAGTTGCCAGTCGTAGTCATGATGTCATCCTATGAAAAATGCCTCACAATTGATAACTGGATTGCTAGCCAAGGGCCATAACATGGAATTAGTCTGTTTATTGCTGCACAACCTTGACAAGCACCCATTGATCATAATTATTTCAGTTGTTAGTAAGGATTAGGGTTGGGCGATCATCTCTATTTTCATATCGTCTGATCATGGCTACTTGAGATCACCAATTGGCGATCTGACGTTGCAGCATGTCAGTGAAATGCCCAATTGTATTCATACGTTAACATATCCATCTCCTACACTGACAACGTTGTGTTAAGAAAATAGATAGATAACTTCTCAGAGTTAACTTTAATGCATTAGTATTTTGATATACAGACGGCTCCATTTCAATGAGAGAGAGAGAGCAAGTGGCGGCGCTGAGTGAATCTATGCGCTGCACGCAGCTCCACAGTGGATTATGATTTTACTCATATTAAGTAGTATTTAGTATGTGGCGTTCAGCGTTGATATTGTGGCGTGTCGCCACAAATAAATCAATGAATGGGAAACACTGCAGTGTGGTGCAGATTCTAGAGACTGTTTTTATGTCATCTTACTTCTGATAGTGAGTTAGATAAAAACGCCTTAATATCGGCGCATGAAAAACCAATCGCTGATCATCCCTTCAATCGTCATTAAGCGATCCAATCGCCAATCGTAACAACCCTAGATAACATTGTTGAAGTAGACGTGGGTTAAAATAAAGAGAACTAAATTAAAGTACAGCTCTTGTATGTGTCACTCAGATACAAAAACCGTATTTGCAGCAGCGACCATCTCAGTCAAGCTAAATGTTGACTGATGGCTGGCTGTCATTCCTCACCCTGTATTCAAGTACACTGTATAAATATTAGGGCTGTCCCCGTCTAAGGATTTACATAGTCGAATCAGAATCGTCAAGTCCTGCCTATAGTCGACTGATAGTTGAATCATGTGTGTTTTTGTGCACGCCGATTGCGAGCCAGGGAGGGGTAACACATGGTGGATCCGCTTAAATCTTGAGAAGCTGCAGAGCTGCAGTCTCTATTCATTCAACTTACACTGTAAATTTCCAGCTAAAATGAGGCTTTTGTTGACCCTTTTCTCTCTCTCTCTGTCTCTCGCCTGTCATTCTCCAGTCTCGTGCAGAGTTTTGCATGCATGCCGTGCTGCTGACAACTGCATACACGTCTATTTCAAGTAGCCACCTATTTAAAAACAATATAATATTCTTTGTGTGGTTAATCAACGGTGATAAATTATCCGAAAGTCCCGCAAGGTGCAGACAACTCGGCACAACACCGATGAAGCTGGGGCTCGGTCTCTTCAGCAAGTGTTCCTCTTCTGCCAATACACACATACACACTATGCCTACACATGCGCACTGACGGGTTAGGGTTAGGATTACAATTTTGGATTTATTCACGCACTTATTGAAAGTTTTATTCTTTTTACATGTTTATTAAAAGCATTAAATGTTGAAATGTGTATTGTAAGAGGCAGTATATTAAGTTATTGGGAGAAAACTGGTAGTGTGCTATGTGAAATCAGACGTTGAGCACGCCCATATCATCAAAATGGCATGATCCTTGTTTTGCTGCGAAGCTTCGACTGTGAGATTGACAGTCGAATCAGACTCCGCCTATCGAAGCATCGAGTCTTCGAATATTTGGGGTTAGCCCTGATAAATATGTATAATTATTAATTTTCTGAAGTCTCTTGTCTGTCACTTTAGGTTTGCTTTTCCTAAGCTGTTGGAGCAGTGCAGCCAAGGTAAGTCCTGACTGTTGTACCATACAGTTTAGGATAAACGTCTTTCATGGAAAACTGAGAAAACACTTAATTTAAATTCATTGATATGGATTTTTTCAAGTGTGATGCATGTCATGCTGACAGGTTGTATAATATAACCATTAATTTATGATTTTTGTCAAACAAAGTCAGAGGAGAAGTTATACATGTATGATAAAATCATGGTAATATTCTCACGGTAAAGTAAATAGCAAATTAGAGATCCTACTTCCACTGAATAAGCAATATGTTCAGTCTTGTATACTGAAGTGACACATTGCAGATTTTATTCTGCTTTACTGCCATCATACTAAACATCTTTAGAAGTCAGGCTGGGTGAAGCTGAAACTGGATGAGCATGGGGCAACCACTACAGTTTAACCTGTCACAGAATGACTTATTATGCTTTTTATATCTTACTAGTAGGTTTGAATTAATCAAATTTCAATGTCCCTTCAAATTCAGCCTGCAGGTAGAACACAGGAGCAGTAGTGCCAGTAAATCAGATGTAGTGTAAAATTCTGTATGTCAGCAGTGGCTACACAGATATGGCTTTGTATTTTCAGGAAAGTGAGCCAGTTTTTCCTGAAATTCATATTCCCTTTTTGTGTCTCATTTTATGTCAGGTATTGTGAGTACAGTGGTGTTCACTGGGCTGACAGCAGAGCAGAAGCACCCTCTCATGCAGCATGTTCAGCAGTTGGTACGCTCTGCCAACCCCACCGCAGCCTTCATACTGGCAGAGAGAGGAGCTGTCACCAGGTAGGCGTCCACAGAATTGTGATCAATGCCGCAAACAGTCAATTTAGCTGCTTTTATCCTTTCTTAAAATATTCTCTCTAGGCTATATTTTATTCTGCTTTTTTAGTCTATGTCTTATTCTGTTGGGTCAGAGCACTGCTTGGTGTCACGTCATTTCCCAATGCATTCTGTACCATAATAAATAAAGGACATTATCACTGGTAGTTAATTTTTTTCTTTGTCATATTTGCATATGTTTATACCCATATTTGTGGTTTAACGTATTAATTCTGTAATGTTTTGTTTTTTTATTTATTAGGACTGAAGATGTGAATCTGATATTTTCTGAGAGCAGCTTCAATGAGCCACAGATGCTGAGAGCACGTTATGTCCTCTACCCTGGATGGTAAGACCCTTATCCTATGTTCCATTCTATTGGCTGTGACCCTCGTGTGTCCACACTCAACCTTTTGGCTACCGAGCGACAGATTGGCGTTGATTCCTGCCTCTGCTTTCCACAGTCCTGCCTCGCCTCCCTCCCTGCAGTTTAATTACCACTCAGCTGCAGTGGCGGGGGTATCGGCTGCTGATTGCTGTAAAGCCCCTCAGGGTATCTTGTGTTCTATCACCAGCTCCCTCCTGGATGCACAGTAACAAGTTGTTGGCCATGCAGTTGCCATGTACACAGAGGGGGTCTCCTTCCCTTGGACCAGGTCCATTTAGCCTTCATGCCACAGTGGTCAGCCTAATATGAGCCTCTCCTGAATCCTCCTTTCACATCATACGCTGGATGTCTGGCTCTTTTGATTTACTCATCTTCAAGCTTTATTTTGTGTACACAAAGTACGTGAATGTGTTTAAAATGCTTCTTACACGTCCTAAAATCTTTGACCAAGACAATAATCTTTTTCACCTTGTGATTAGAGTATCTACATTTATCGATTTATCATGCACTTCCACAGTGATACCAGCAAATCACATACACTGGCCTCTTTCCTGTGGGCAGCTGGTAGAGTAAACAACTTTCCAGCCAAAGACAAAATGTAGCACAAACATTTGGCTTGCTCAAGACTTAAATTTCTCACCATTTGTGTAATGTGCATGTGTTCTGTTTCAGGTGCAAAGGGCGCTTCAACTCTGGTTCTGGGTCTCTAGTTCTCACCCAGCAGCGCGTGGCTTTCAACCGGCCCCTAGAGAGGCCTCTATTTGTCACCCGCTGTAAAGGTGAGACGGAAAGGATTTCTCTCCCCTTTTTTTGACTCTTACACGTGACAGAAGCTCCAGATATGAGGTGGCAGGGTTGATGGTGATTACATAAGCTGCCTTTCTCTCCAAATATGGAGACAGCTATGGTCTCAAAGTGTTTGCCTGCTGGTGCTGTGAAATGATCTGTATTCCCAAAGGATGCACTTATGACATCTTGCCACCAACTTTGCTTTTCATGAAATTTATCATTTGAATTAATATAGTTAAATCCTACAAAGTTTCACAGTACTAACTGCTAAAACTCTCATTATTTTTCTGAAGCATTAAAGTCATCACTAAGGCCAAGCCCCTTCAAAGAAAATGTCTACAATGTTTGGGGGAAAGTCAGATTTTCTGGTAAGAACTACATATTTTAATTTTACCTATTTTATCTTTTATCTTTGTATCATAAAATACATTGCCACTTTTTTGCTAACTTTTGACATTTTCAGATACAATTTCAAATATCAGAGGAATTGCTATTGTTAAGCATTACTAAACAAATGTGACTTCTTTCCTTGGCAATTATTTAACCTGCATTTGCATTTCCCAGTCTTGGGAATTATTAGAGAAAAGGTTGCTCTCAAGGCAGGCCAGAAGCTCCTGACGGTAGGAATATTGCTCGGTTGTTGATCTGGGTGTCTGGTGTCTAGAATTCAGCTCATAGTTCACTGGTTTGGTTTTCTCCACATAGTTTTCTCACTCTTTTTTCATTTGAAGACCTGTGTAGAGTTGTTGCATGAGGAGAGAGTGCAGGTGGCTGTGAGGAGATGTGCAGAGAGTGTGCAGATATTTGTAGAGAGGTGGGCAAATACAGTAGTATGGAACGAATGTGGAAACTGTACTGTATGAGCCTTATCCTAATACTCACATTCCCCAAGTGTGTATCTCAGTCACTGTCTTTAGGATAGGGTATCATTTACATAACTTTATATTTGATTATTTTGTATTTAGCTCTTGCACATTTAATACATATTTTACATTAAGTTAGGACATATTTGTTTTTTTAATCACACACGTGAGTGCTGTGAGCCATTTTGGGAGCAGAGAGGTTATAAGGATGTTAAAACATTAACACCCCACCAACGCCATGCTGTTACTATATGAAGCTGCTGTAGCAGGTGTTACACAGTGTGTGAACTGTATGTGCAACTTGGATGTGAGCTCCTTCATCTCTGGAACCTCCAGACTCAGACCAACTGATGGAGGTGAGCTACAACACAGTGAGCGGGAGCCTGAACATTGTCCCGGACCAGAGCACTGACCTTCTGAACCCGGACTCCAAAAAGACCAACATGTCCTACTTTCTGATCTTTGATGGTGTTAGCCTCACTGAGGATGGACTGAAGGACTGGCTTAGACTGTGCGCCAAGCAGGTAGACATCTTAATAGCCATCGCTTGTTTTGATGGCAATACACATTCATGATACTCATGTTTACATCTTTTTTTTATGGGTAGCATCAGTCAATTACTATATAAGGAAATGAACTGTGTTATCACAAGGCTATTGTTTCTGTTTGGTGTTTACAGAGGCAGACAAAGAAGCCTAAGAAGACAAAAAATACCCTTTTACCACAAGAAATCAAGCGCATACACGTAAGTGTGTTTATATTTATAATTATATATAATATAATTTTTTATTAACCAGCGGTGGAACTTTGTGTGGAAAGTAATGCATTAAAGTTACTTTGTGGACTTTTGTGGACTAGGTGTTTTCATGAGCTAGTGCCTGCTTTGTATATGTGTATGTATATTGAATTGCAAGCATGCACGCAATGCACATATGCGCGTATATTGTCACAACAATGAATGTCAACATAACTGTGTTAGCTTACCAGAAAACTCCACACGATACCTTTAAATTTATTGTCAATAAATGCCACTGCAAGAGCGAGAAGAGTATGAAATCTTGGATGTTAGGTACAAGCTTCAACCAACCAGAACCTTCCGGGTCTGAAATGTGAAGCCGATAAGGAAGTGCATTCTTTAAAATGATTCCAGTGGTTGCAAAAAGAAGTCAGCTTGCATACTCTATCTTCGATACAGCTTGATGTTCATTTAGTGTATTATGGTCCCATTTAGAGTAAAATAGACTACAAAGCAGGGTATGCTTTAGGACGTGGCGACTTGTCAGATGTAGAAATGCATATCCCTCCACAGCCAAATATGATAATTTCTTCCAAAAAACCAAGACGACGGCCAAAATACGAAACTCAAGGCTTCAAAACAGTAGTCCACAAACCAATGGGTGATGTCACGGTGGTTACATCCACTTCTATTAACGGCCCACCATAGACTTTTGCCACTGTTATTGATGTGTGCCTTTTTCAGTCAATAATAATAATTAATAATAATAATAACTCGACTGAACTTGATGTTATATGTTTCTGTTTAGATCACCAGGCATTTGGACCCTCTACCACCAGGCTACTTCTACAACGGTTATCAATATGTTGACATCTTTGGCGAAAAAAGGAACCTCCATCCCAGTATCCTTTTCATAGAGACTACTGTCTAATGTAGAAACTCAACTACATCTAATTTATCACTCAGGTTTGGCATACTGTACTGGATAGTTTTCAAAGGCTAAAAAAAAAAAAGACACTGGTACCTTTATATCTATGCCTTTATACCTGATACATAGTAGATGTGAGTCAGTTTAGGTAATAAAAATCAAGCTCTGAGTTTCATAACTCATAGAGATTGTGTATAGTTTATGTAAATAGGAACTTGACCCAAAGAAAGCAGTGATCATGAATCATTATGCAGGTGTGCTTGCATCTGTATTTACTAGGCTTGTGACGAGACACTTAATCCATGAGACGAGACAAGAGATTGGGTTCACGAGATCGAGATGAGACAAGATTTCAACACTATTTTTAAGAAATCTTCAACACTGAATTATATGAAAATTTTGAGCATTAAACATGAATTATTTTCCTGCATTGTAGTGAATTTTTCTGCACCAATTTATGGTGGAAATATTGTTATTTATGTAAAGGGAAACAATTTAAAATATAATGGAATATAATGCAGTAAGGCTCTCAGGCATTCTTTGCTGCTTTCAGATATGTTTATCCTGTAGATCAACTTTTCTCATGTAATATCATCCCTGCTGAGTCATGATTTAGTCTTCCCTCCTTATGTAACCTCTTAAAATGTGGCACCTATTCACCTCAATGAGGTGAAAAAATTATTTTAATTCAGTTATAAAATGCTGGACTTTAATAGCTCCTGTGTTTTAGTACATTTTCTGCTCATGGTCAAAACTTTCTGCATTTTTAGAATCTCTCCCACATATCTGTGTTATCTGACATGTCGAGAAAAAGTACAAAAAAAATGACAATTCAGTAGAGGCCCTATAATCTGCTGTGCATTATGTTATTGCTTCGCTGGTAGTAACGTCATCCCCTTCAGACCGTTTGACTGACAGTGTGGGACTGCATGCTGCGTGTGAAACTGAAGTCTCAACACAAATCCAAATGTTAACAGCTCCGATAAAGTGTGGCTCACAGTCTCAAACAGCAAAGCTGTGCCTCAGTTTTTAGATGTTGATATTTCAAAACTGCAACTCACAGCGCGAGAGGTTCTCAGCACACTCTGATGTCGCATCAGCTGGACGGAGTTGATTCTCTCCACGAGTCTATGTTATTAGTTATACATTTGTTTTTCACTGCGTGAGAACATTAATGTCTGGCTTGACAGAATGTGAATTGTGTGAGTCTCGCGAGACAGCTTTTAACCTGACCAGAAATCTTGTCACATTTTAATCTTGTCACAGCCCTAGTATTTATTGTTGAGTGTTGAAAAATTTACCTGCTCATTCCCTTACATTGCTGTTACTGCAGACATGGAAGAGTTTATTAAAGAGTACATCACAGAGGCCAACAAAGAGATTGAGCTGTTCAACCGTCAGCTGGAGCTGGAGGGACAGCCTGACCTGTTTGACCCATGATAGAATCTGTCTGTATGTCTACTCCTTCCATCTGTCTTTTTTAACTCTAAGGGGACCACTGTGGGAGGGACAGGGCGGGCACAGGGGTTATGTGCTGAACACACCACTAGAATGGTCAGTGTGTATTCACACCACATGCATCTGCAGAAACTGTTGCTGCTATACGTCCACTCATTATCTATGTACTATGTCACTTTGTTTCCTAACTTGGTGGCATAAAAAGGTTGAGTGCAGGTGAGCTTTTAAACAGTGACATCACCCTTCAAAAGCCAGTTATGTCATGGCATGGCTATTTGCCTTACTTACTACTGCAACACCACTAACTGCACACTTAGCACTTTGGCGAGTTAGGTATCATAATAATCAACTGATAGTGGGAAATTGATCTGGTCACTGTGTGGTTACTTTAATTTAGGACATATGTAAAGAGAGGGCAGTTGCTCACAAGTGCAGACAAATCTGAAATATAACACAACATAAGACTCCATCTTTAAACCAATGTTATTACGCCACTAAGCCTGCAAGCTATTAGACTTTCACAATTGAAGGGAATTTCCCAACGCACACTCCTACTGCTTGTGCGTTTCTGTTTATCACAGTTGGCAAATTAATGCCTCTATTTCTGTATAGGCATGGATAGCCGTGTGATTCTGGTGGGCTCCCTGGTGGGGTTTCTCAAGAATCGCTCCTCCTCTGTTGTCACCCAATCCATGGCCCACCTGTTATCTTGTCTGCATGCCACGCTGCAGCAGAGGGAGCGCTTGGCCATAGAGCTGTAAACATTGGACAGCCTGTTGGCTGCAGACAACTGATGAATGATGCCATTAATCAAATAGCTAAACGCCATCTCAGTGCTTTATTTTAAGACTCCTAAAGTGAATCTAATGAAAGTGCAACAAAGCAGTAAAGTGTTGAAGTTCTAACACAGCTGAGGCTGTCAAACACCTCGATTCACTGAGGTTACATGTCCACCAGAAACCTTTCCTTAAATATCTATTGTGTTTATTATAATGCTGCTTGTTAACAGTGAGAAACCAGATAGACACAGAAAGTTAAGCTCAGCCTCACTGCAGCCAGGTGTGGATCACTCATTTCACCATTTAGGTCAAAATGTTCATTTTTTTTTGCATTTGTCGTAAGTGTGAACATTCCCGTGTTTTGTTTTTAATCTTTTGGGCCAATGCTTTTGGGCAGGACAAGGGGTAAATGAAATAATCTGGGACTACCGTGATTCAGTTAACTGTTTTATTAGGTTTGGGTAAACATCAGGAGAGCATTTTGTGAAGGGTATAAGCCTTTGTATCAGTGGTATGATGTTGCAGAGACTTTATGTCCTGTTTAAATGAGTAGTTATGCTACTGTTTTCTCTGCGATCGTGTGTCATACTAACGTTCTATGCATGTCTTCCTCTTATCAGGGTTCCTACACAGGTTATGAAATTCTATGACCTGGAAGAAAATGAATGAAAACGTGTTGTTATTTGTAGAGCTACATATTTAGGTAGCGTAAGACTCACTTAAATTCTAAATTGTGTGGTATTGAACCAAACAAGCATTACAAAAAAAAAGGGTGATAAATAAGTGGAATTAAGAAGTTGAAAAAAATGTGTAGGAACCCTGCTACAATCTCTAAAGATTTGATGGCTTTCATACATTATGGGGTCAGCAGTGTAATGATTAATAGTCTTTGGGGACAAGTGGCCCTAGGTTTGTTTTGAGTGAACTGAAACTAACTAAGGAGCATTTAAATGCACATATAAGTGTGCATAAACTGCTGCTGCTTCTATAATGGTACAGTATATTACATTAGGCCTTGTACACTGGACCACAAAAAAAAAAAAAAGGTTCTGGACAATGAGTACTCTAAAGTCCATAATCTAATTCCTTGGCAGACGAGGGAAATGCTTGCTAGTGAGGTGAACGCTTCACTGCTGTTCAATTCATATCTAAACAGATATTTTTAGATCAGTGGTGACCCCAGTGTATTTTGGGTTGCCGTTCACAACACTGACTGTGTCGTGTTTTACATGTTTGTCTGTCAGCACTGTCAACGGCCAGTAAAATGGAAAGAATCAGTAATGTTGTTTTCAGCTGGCAGGCAGAGAGTGATAACATTGTTAGCAAGTTATTTTCCCCCAGATGACCCGCAAGTATCTGTGCAGATTCGAATAATCCTGAGTATAAACTCAACCTGACACTGCTGGCCCCACTGTCCACTTTGATCTGAAGAAGCCATACCATCTTATGCTAGATGTGCCACTGTCATTTAGAAGAATAATACAATATAATAATAATAACACAGAGAAATGAAGTAATATGTATTTCCCTGATATGTTCAGCCGGCAAAAGAGGAGTTCACGTGGAGATGAGAAGCTCACCCCAAGTTACTCATTCCATTAACTCCTCTCTTACAGTCCTTCTGTATCACTCTATAAAAGAGTGCAATTGTACTGTGTTTTTATATATACTACTTACAGTACCCTCAAATAGCTCTTTAAGGACAAAGCTGAGCAAACAAATCAGCTGCTAAATTCTCAGTCTCTCACAGCTTGTATTCTGTGCTCTGCTGGATTCAGGCATTGCGTGCTTGTAGTTCACATAAACCCCATAAAGGGTCTTAACAACAAGTGAAGGGTTTTGTTGAAAAATGAGATGTTGCTTAAAAAAAACATTACCTCTTCATACAAATGGATGATGCTGTAGAACAAACAGGTCTGATGCAAACAGATGCTTTTTTTTAAAGGGGAGCAGGATGTAATGTAACATAAGTCCTTTGTTGACAAAACGATAACTCTTGTTTAGGCTGGATCTTCTGTTTAGCGTTTCAGAGATGCACTCTCAAAGCCGTCTGTTTTGTGCAACAGTTGCTGTCGTTCTGCAGTTATGTAATACTGCAGAGAGTTACCTTGATTGACAGTGAAATAGTTGTGAGGCTGATGTATGGAAGACTGAAGGTGCCACGACTTTGAAACCTGCTACGCTTATGAAAGAGCAGAGAAACTAAAACCATGATTGGCCAAGAGATCAACTGAAGTCCTTAAAGAGTTGAGGGTTATGTAAGATGTTTGTGATATTTAAATCAAATTACCACTAACACATACACGACTACTCCTACTAAGTATGCCTACACTATTTTGCATGTGCTGAGATGTCATGTGAATATGATACCACGTATATTCTGACAAAATTGCCTTTCACCAAACTGGTACAACCAAGAGAAAATAATCACATTTATTTTACGTATCTGCTAAGAATTTGAATTACCTCGAAACGACAAATAGTATTTTTGTAAGACAGTGAATTGAACATTCTAGATGCAAGAAAAAACATCTACTCTCGCACAAGCTACAAAAAAGCAAAAGCAGATGCAATTTTTTTGTAGAAAAAAAAAAACTCTAAGAGAATCTGATTGGTTGTGAGATGTCAGGTTTCTCTGATCCAGCAGTGCCTTGGCTACAGCTAAGAAAAGCAGAGATTAAAGCTGCATTCAGAGCTCCATCTCTCTCCCTGTCACCAGGGGAGGAGGTGTTGTCAGGCGAGGATCCGTCCTTCAACAGTGTTGGTGAAAGGAATCCATGGAGTCGTTCTTTAGAGCAATGTGTTTTTACTAAGCCAGAGGGCAAAGTAGGCAAGGTCACACAGGGGGAGGCCGCTGGAGGGCTCAGACCGATTCAGGTATTCGCAAAAAAAATGGTGGAATATGGGCTGGGTAGCACAGCAAGTACTGAAACCAGTACAGTTGTTATACTTAAAATGTATTTACTTTCACAGTGGTACATTTCTGTGTAGCTTATTTTAAATTATTACATGAGTAACGCATCAAATTCAGTTGGAATGGATAACAATATAATATATAATATCTGATATAAGAAAAGTATGTTTGTTTATTTATTTTGCACCCAGCCCTAGTTGGGAACAGAGCCTTGGAAGTTTTGTACCAGAAGATGAACAAAAAAATGAGGATTTCATTTTTGACTAAAGTTGGTTGACCCCTACTTATTGCACACTGGGGGCCCAAAGAGCCCTCCACAAGCCTCTGTGTGACTGCTACGCAGCTGTCTGGCAGACTGAGCACTCTGGTGTCTTCATCCTGTATGTGGAGGCTAGCCGTTTTGTAGCTGAAGTTATAGGACAAAAACAAAGTTTGGTGTTGATTGGTTTTATATAAAGTGGAGAAATGTGATGTTCTTATACTGCAATGTGATAATGCAGTTTGAGAAGTTTTTGTTCTTTTCTAGTTTTGAAGATGGTCTCCAGTGTTCAAAAGGGAATGTGTGCACTTCCTGAAGAAGTGGATATATTATTGTATTTTTGTGCTTATTGGAGAAAGGCGGCTTGGAAATAGATTTTAAACTGTCCAAATATTTCTCAGGCCTCAGGGGACTGTACTAATTGTTTGGGCCGTTCTGTCCTATTAAGGTTAAAAGGGAATCACTGGCTCTTCGGCCGACAGTCCTGGCAGACAGCGAAAGGAATTGGCTCAGGTGTACTTATTATTTCCATACCTGAGATTACATATTTGCCCTCTCAAAATTAAGTGTTATAGAAGAAGATGGGGGTGAAATTGTGGTTGGTATCTTCTCTCTGTGTGTGTGTGTGTGTGTGTGTGTGTGTGTGTGTGTGTGTGTGTGTGTGTGTGTGTAAAAAAAACAAAAAAGGATGTCATGATGGCAGAATTAGATCTGGGAGGGGGAAAAAAAACTAAGGGCTCATTCTCCTCTATCTACAGGCCGTCCAAAGTAAAAGGGGGGTGAAAAAAACTGATATAAATAACTTAATGTCTCTATTGTAATGAGAAACAAACAAAAACAGCTAACATTAAAAGTGCCAAACTGACTTCCACATTTTGTTTTGAGGGTGTTCACGGCATGTGAGCAAAGCTGAATTGCGTTTGCACAAAACTACTGTAACTTCTGTTTTTTTCCTGTGACTGATGCTTTTATAATCTAATTGTTGTTTTTATTGCACCACATGTTCCATTAAATATTTATATGGTTGATAAATCTTCGTTCTTTTATCACTTAATGCAACATTTACTGTATCACTGAAAGGTCTACATTCTCTCGCTGTGCTTTGATTGTGTGATAACGGTTTTGCTCTCAGATGTTAGCAGCCACGCATGCAGCCAGTTCAACATAGCAGTGGATTTGTCACTTGCTGAGACAACATGGATTCCCTCTGTGCATCCATACCCTGTATCAGCACCAACTGAAGCGGGGAGGTCTCTTTTATTAGGACTAGGGGAGATCGACTAAACAGAAATTGTCTACGGATCACGTGTGAAAGCTCGGTGTGTGTGTTGTGGTTTGGCTATTAATGCACATTGTTAAAGAGAAATGGCAGCTGAAATAGTGCCGAGAGAATGTGATGAATCCTGCTCCACATAACACAGTTTTAGCCCTCCCATTTCCTCATGCTGTGTGTGTGTTTCTGGGTGTTTGAAGAAAGGAAGATAGACTGTGTGTGTGTCCTTGTGTTGTTGCCAGGCAGATACAGTCCTCGACATGGCTAACCTCTGACATAAGCGCTTTCTCGTCTCTCTCCTGCCACCACAGTGCCGCCAGTTTTTCCCCATAGACTTAAGGCAAGACCCCCCGCCCAAATTCACTTAGCGCACTTTAAACACACTCTTACCATATCTCTTCCACCATTAACCGCCCTTTTTCTCCTCCCCGCTCCACTATTGTTGTATTTTTACTGAGGCAATGAGCTGAGGCTATTTGTGGGCTATTATGACAGCCACATGTAAACACTCATCACTCTCGCTGGCGTCTGCCAAAGCCTGCATTGTGGGCCCAGGTCACTGCAACAACAATTGTGCACTGTATAGTGTTGGATTTGCTCACTTTAACTAAGTGGGATTTTGGTGGGGGGGTCTTTTATAATTGAAGCTAATAAAGTGATACGTTGCATGTTTTGGTGGGATGGAAAGAAAGGTGTCTCCAGCCTTGACCCCAACTTAAACCTTCCTGTGGGTTTGACTGTTTCCAACTGCATGGGACGAGTTTGAATTCATGTCAAGTTTAGTAGGAATTTTTTTAGAGAGGTGTTAATTCAACTGTAGAACCATTTTGGAGGCTGCACTTTGTGGCACTTTTAAATTGTATTGCATTATACGAACAGTTGTTTGTCTATTATTTTGTCCACTCCGCTTATATTGATTAGGGTAGGCTGAATATTAAGAATACCTGTCTGTATAATAACAATAAAACAACAGTTCAATAGCACCAGAAACTACACCCTCCAAATCCAAACAATACAACCTTCATCTTCAAGGTAGGTACTGTTGTATTAAACCTCATTACTTTTAGCTAGGTGTACCTAATAATCTGGCAATTGAGTCCCAATACCATACAATATGCTATTATACAGATTATGAGTATGTTGTGTTCTTACTAGAAAAGTGTTACTTAATGTGATGTACAAAGGAAATGGACAAGCTTCTTATGAGCTTTTTTTATTAAACACTATTGTAGATGGTGGCGGGACAGCTCCAGAAAGAGATCCTCAATCTCTCTTTGTTACATTTACGTGACAGTGGGGACTCTCCCTGGGTCCATGTTAGCAACATAATGTATACACATGCTTTCACATATATAAATACAGACGGGAGACAAATTAAAGGAATACCTGAATGAGTGGAGAAACATCCAGTGCACATGCTTCCATGCACCAGGGCTCACTGAAACATTTGGTGAGTATGAAAGTGATGTGAATAAAAAGCCACTGCCTTTACAGCCACCAGACATAACACCCCAGTTTTACAACCATGGAATATTTTGGACCGGTGTTTTAAGATGATGCTGTCCACATGTTTCCATAAGATCTAATTGTATAATATAAAAGTTTATCTTCAAATCTATTTGTGACTGCCACTGATGGTACATGTCCTGTAATGGTTATTTTTCTGTCTGCTTCTCTTGTTTTTTCTTGATCTCAGTGATTACTTGATTAAATAAAGCTTTTACTTATATATGAGGGAATATCTGGTGGAGGAGTGGTGTTCATCCCTCCAGTAGAGTCTCACAGACCTGGCAAAGAACACTGAAGCTTTTCTGGAGGTTTGTGGTGGCCTGTCTCCATACTGAGACTTGTCTTGCTGCATGTTGTGTCATGTTTGTCCTTGAATTTATTACCCATCTGTACATTAACATTTCTTAAATTGAAGTCTTTGCGCAGCCATGACTGTTGAAAAAGAATGTCATTCAGATTGTTTTCACAGTATATTTTTTATTTCATGCCTTTTGACAACCATCATTTCATAATGATTTTTTTTTCTTAAAACAATAGTTTTGCACAAATGCACTCTTTATCTGACCACCATTGTCAATTTTAAAAGGTTTTTGTACTGAATACTATCTGGATAAAAGCCCTTCCTAAAATTGTCAGGTCAGTTTGGTATTGCATTTTTATCACTTCATTACGAGTTTATACATTCACAGCATCATATTTCAAATTTAATTTTATACACCTTACTGTGACTGGCAATAGCCTGGCTCCATCTGTGTTGTGTTGATATAGTTTAACCTGAAAGATTATGCCTTACAGTTTGAAGTATTTGCAAATATTTTCAACCCCAGTCTGATTTGCATCAGTCCATATCAATAACTTCATCAGGCTGTTAACAGCTGCCCATCTGGTGTTTGTCTTTTGATTTCACACTTCTCTCTCTCCAACTGGTTGATGTCAAAGGTCATCAAAACAGCCATGTCACTGGAATCCCCCGAGGCAGCGGCCAGTTTCAGTTGTTCGAGACCATTTCCACTGAAAACTTCGCCCTCCCAGACTCTGCTCTTATTTAGTTTCAGATCAGTTCGCGTCTCTCCCACCACGCTCACCCTTTGGGCTCCAGGGATCCTCACCCTGAAGCGGACCCACGAGAGGGGCTCTAGCAGGCCCACGCGAGGCTCAAAGAGCACACAACCCTTCCTCCAGGCTGAGTAGACACAAGGGAACGGAGGCCCTGGCTGATCACAGCTGTTCCTCAGAACAAAGTCACACATGGGGTTGAAATCTCCACCAGGGGTGAGCCTAGCATACAGGCCCAGGCGATACACCCCAGGATCAGGTAGGCTGACGCTCACAGTCACCTTGCTGTCTGTGTATGTGCAGAAGAGGTGGCGTGAAAGTGGTATGGCTGCTGTTTTGCTCTCTTCTCTGCTTAGCACAGTGTGAAGCTCAAGGTCCTGATGGTTGTGGAAGGTGATGTTACACTTGCCTTGCTGGGTACTCACCACCGCTGTCGTATGGCTGAATTTGGTCAGTCCTGCCTCTGATGTGCGCGTCCCTGGCCCGCATGCTGAGCCCAGGTTAGGAGGGAAGAGCTCATTCAGACTGACCACCTTCCCTTTGCAGTGTAACAGGAAGTTTGCAGCATTCTGGAACTTGACCTCTGTTTTCTCATAGTCCCGTACAAACACTGACAGCCGGTAAAAGCCACGCATGGGGCACAGGACATGGCAGGTCAGGACATCCTTTTTAATTTGAGTAGCAAGACAGCGCTTGGCTACAGCAGCTTCCATCCCTGGGTGGACCAGTTCACAAAGGACCATCAGAGGCCTGGATGTCTTTAATGACAATTCAAAGACACCTTCTTCCACCTCAGCAACCTCGCTGCCCTGGATGCTGCCTGCGACACCAAGGGATCCAGCGACAGGCTGCAGGCCCCAAGACAAGAAGGGATTGTCTGGGATCTCCTCCATGGCCCTGGGAGTCGGACACTCGACTGTGAAGGAGCATACCCAAATCAGGGGCGTGGTGGCAGTTTCTGGTCTGGCAAACACCTTCACGTCATATACACCACTTGCAGGTGGCAGGAGCTGCAGCTTCATGCTGCGATGGGACACCGTCAGGAGGCCGTAGGAGGAGTTGCTGGACTCCTTCTGCTCAGAAGCTCCACAATGGAGAAGGTCCTGGTGCTGTGTGATCTCATAGGTAAAGGTTGCTGGCCTGGAGAAGCCGAGGGACACGTTTGCCTCGCCATCATCTGAGGAGGAAATCAAAGCAGAGTTGTTGTTTTTTTTTATTAATTTAAGTAAATTACCCTTCCCTTGGAGAGACGGAACAATAAGCATGATAGGAATTTATGAATTCAAATTTCTGATTTAGCAAAAACTAAATAATATATAAAATCAACAAAACTCAGGGCAGACCTGTGACGATGTGAGAGTGATGAGGCTGAATCAGCCTGAGCCCCATGGTGAAGAAGGCTGAGGTCTTGAAAACCCTCCTCTCAAAGTCCTCGAGGGTGATGGGTAAGTCCAGGAGCTGCCATTTCTCCTCATCGGGGAAGTGTGAATCTATGAACTCCTCCGGGTCCGTTAGGAAATAGAAATCATCAAACCTTTGAGACAACAGATGGAGACAACAGACTGGTTTGGGACTCAACTCGCTGCTGGTTTCGGGTGTATGATAATAAACAAGAGCAAACTCAAACTTGTCACGATTGCAGTGTTATGGTGTTTTTATGGAACCGTTTGCAGTAAAAACAAAAAGATGCTCATCACTCAGGCGTGGCTTTAAATTCCTAGTTTGGGCTAATTTCACAGAAACTGTCCTTCTAAAACTATACAAATGAACGGTGAATGGGGTGGAATCACTCTTTTGTCCCTCTACCCTTTTCAAACCTTCTGACGAAGCTTTCATGTTCCATATCTACTCGTCCTGCTCCCCAACAGGCATCCAATAGGAACCACTGTCCTCCCAGAAGCACAGCGTTCCACAAGTGATCAGATTTCACATTCTTAAGGCTGTGGCCCTGACGGTACCCGATGCCCTTACTGTGCCCCGGAACTTCTTGGCACTCGATGCCCACCTCTCTGTAAACAAAAACCAAACAGAGCACAATCACTGCTTTTTACTTTTGTTTTAATTCCCCTGTCCTTAAACTCTAGTTCAAGGTTGTTGATTGTGCTGTTGGTCTGAACTTTATTTCATTCACTGCACAGTATTTATACTGCAAATGTCTTGCTAGAACTCTGAAGGGATCAAGGATGCAAAATGTAGCACAATACTGAATGAATGGATGGAAGAATGGGAAGTGAAACAACGCTTTCTGTGTTTGAATGTCTAGATGAATGAAAAACTCATGTGCGATATGTTTTTCTCCATATACTGCACATTTATATATTTATTTATTTATATATATATATATATATATATATATATATATATATATATATATATATATTCTTTTAACATGTCTCTCGTGAACAAAAAAAAAATTTATGATGCATAAGCTGCATAACAGCATCAAACAAGCTGGTTCTGAATGGGGTTTATTCCAATAGCCATTCGTTTCAGTTTGTATAGTGAGCCATATGAACAATAAAGCTGCAGTATTCAATATTTTTATATTAACAATAGATACAATAGCTGTGTATAATATGAAATTAGTAGTGATGAACACATACGGTAGATGACAAACCCACAATTATCACCCAACTCTGCAGTTCCCCTCATATCTAACTAGCATTTTAACTCATTGTTAATTGTCTCTGCCCTGAAAACTCCAATTTCATCTAACTTATTTCCACCATAGCTGGCATTAGTTTTCAGCAAAAAACGTCTTGTTAAATTCACTGTACACAATCTGCCCAGCACCAAACGGCAGACAGACTGTAACTAACATGGTGGAGTATTATACTGGAGCGTTTATCGGCTTAAGAGCCAGATGTTTTCCTCAAGAGTTGGATGAGAACAGAAAGAGAAAATGACATTTATATGGTAACTACATGTCAACACATTAGCCATAACAACTTTATAAGGTGATGATATATCAATGTTGTGTTTATAGTTTGTACTGCTGCCCCCAAGTGGCCAAAAACATCAATTAATGATTTAACATGCAGAGACTTTAAACATTGCAAATTGTCTCTGTTTCTAACATGATTTTCTTGGAAGGGGTGAAAAATTTGAACTTCCTGGAAGCGGTAATTTGTATTTAAAGCGATTAACCAATAGTCATTACAAAACAAACGTTCCAGAATATGTGGCTATGGTCTACGTCCTTGAGAATAGCCATTTCCCCATGTGTGTTATTTATTTAAAGGTTTTAGTTTGGGGCTGTTTACCTGCACATCTCTGTACAGAGGTTGGAGTAGCCACAGCACACACCCCGACCGGCTGCTATCACCTCCTCTGGTGAGCTCAGCTTCTCTGAGTGGCCAAGGTACCCACTTACATCATATTCTATGAAGACAATATTTCTTTTATTCCAAAATTAGGTGTAATATGGCACCTGGTCTTAAACAAAAATAGATTATCTCTCCTGAAATGCATTATGTGATAGATAAGAGAACACTAGGATTTATATAAGTATGTATAGTTCAGCAAATACCCACCGATGTTGTGGCACAGCCAGACCCAGATGGCACGAAGCCTCTCCAGCTCATTTCTGGCTCCTCGTGTGATGCTCTGTACTATCGTCTTCACATCATACACACACTTTTCCTTCAGCTTCAACACACAACCAATATATTGACTGTTAGGTTATTTAGGGTTTTATAGGTAATTAATGTAATGCAAAAATGTCATTTGCTCCATAATCTTACTTATACCATCATATTTGTCGGCATCTTCAGTGTCTGTATTCTGTGTACTGAACAAACCAGGTTACGATGGATGTGAGTTCTGCCTGACAGCTGCTTTATTTGTTATGGTTTTATTGCAGTAGATGAGTAGATGTTATCACTTCCTTAATGCTTTTCCTGTAGAGCACAAGAACCATCTCTGTCTGGGTTTGTTTTTGTTGCTCTTAGTGTCTGTGTAGTTTATCAGGTGCACATGGACTGATGTTAGTCAGTGTTGATGTTAAAGATTCAATCAGAAGTGAATTTCAGGTAGATCTGCACTTTGGCTGGAAGCAGTAAAAATGTTAGCACTTCCTATGTTATGTTATACTAGGATGTACTGTATGTTTTCACCTCTGCTCCTGCCCTGATGACATGTGAATCAACCCTGTGGAAGACCTCAGAGTTGGTGAAGAGGTCCTTTCGACGCCTCCTCTTCCCTACTGCCATAGGGCATGGTGACACCCTCTGTCCCAAGTGCACTTTTGGTTTCAGGTGCCTCTGTTCCTCGGCCTCCTTCGTCACTGCACTCTTTTTCACCACGGTGATGGTCCTGGCTGCGCTCTCGGACGACAGCTGTCTCTTTGCTGCAGGCCGCTGATCTTCACTTTCAACCGTCAGTTTCTCAAAAACACTCTGCCTAGAGAGCACAGCACTCTGTGAAGCTGCGGCACAGACCAGGACCTCTGCAACTGCCATGTCTCCCCCAGAAGGTGGTTTTGGACTCTCCTGAGCTTCGTTCTCATCATGCACCAGAGCTCCTATAACTGCAACAGAGCTTGGTTGGGTTAAGACTGGATTCTCCTGAAGGTTATGAAGCTCCTGAGCCTTCGCCTGTACACATCCCTTTTGGGTCACGTCATCTTGCTGAGAAAGGCGTGCAGCACAGGAGAAGGGGAAGGAGAACTTCTGAATTGCAACTTTAGCTGCCATTATGCTGAAAGCATAATGTCCTAATCAGAGAGAAGGTAGATACTATTCAAAAGACAGTAGCCATTTTCTTTGAGCTATTTTTAGCTAATGCTCTTAATCCTGAGAGCAGGTACGGTTTTAATACTTTGTTCAATGGCTTAAAATGAGACCCATGACTGCTATGGGAGCCCCTCACAAAAGATCCATAGGACCATATATTTTATACAATACATTCTGTGTAAGACAATGATGAATTGGCAATTATATCATGTCTATTCATGACCAGAAATTAACAGAAAGGTTGGAATCATTAGTCACTGTCGCAGCTAACAGCGCAAAGAAAGTCAAAGCCTTCACCAGATTAATATGACCTTATAACTTTATATATGTGATGAACCTGCAGATTGATGGCCATGTTCAACATGTGTTCAACATGTGTGTACACATTAGTGAACATTTTGAGAATAAAAATTTAAAAAATGACTTCTTCTTTTGAAGGCACAGCAGGTTGGCACAGTGGAGACCGAGCCGAACTTGCCAAGTCTGAGCTTTAAAATACAGAAGTCCGAACTTGGCAAACTCAGTATTGAGAAACTGCCACTGACCGTCATTCAACCAGATGACCCCTGTGTTGGCAAGTGTCGGCCCAGCTCAAGTGTACTTCAGCAGGCGACTAAGTCCTATCAGCTCTGTGGGCGCTATGTTGCAGCTGACCCTGACCTCTGACCTTACTGGAGTACGACTAAAGTGAAAGTCCCAGGGGATCACCCTCATGTTGGCGTAAATCCAAGCCCACTGATAAAATAAAATGAGGATTTTTGCAGTAGTAGAATGGTACTTATTTCTCCAAACAAATCATTCAGCATTTTAGAACAACTGATACTATCTTCAATGTTCATGATAACTCTTGAAAACATTGATTTATGTGAGATTCACACTCACAAAAGTAAAGTTGGATAAACCCAGTATAGGTATGTTTAACTATCGCTGCATCCCTAAAAGTTGCTGAGGTTTTTACTCACCCTTGGAGGAATTAAAATGTCTGCTGGATGTTTGCTGGAGTGTCGGGCAGAGATGTTTCCACTGTGTGTTCTCAGTGGTCCCCAGTTGCAGGGGGAGGCTTATATACTCTCCCAGTGGCCTGCCAGGACAGGCCCCAGAATAACAGGCCTAAAAATACTACAAAGCAGTTAAGACCAGCCAATAGAGTAAGCCCCAACTCAGGAGTGTGACGTCTGTGAGTGTGTATCTGTAAGTGTGTGTGTGAGGCTTACAGATGTATGTTCTGATGCATTTGCTAATCAGTACATACACACAGCAGCTCATCTGAACACGAGTGAGTGTGAATTTGTGAATGTGTGTATGTCACGCTGTGTATGTCTGCATTTGTCCATATAGATTGTGAATGTGTGCGTTTTTGCTGCGTTGATGGGTTGGTGGGAAGGTTGGCACATGAGCACGTGTTGGGTGCAAGTGAGGGGTCAGATTCAAGGAAGAGGTGGTTGTTCAAAGAAAAGAGCAGAGGAGTTTATGAAGGGCCTGGCAAATGATAACACCCACATCAACATCAAACACCCTGAGTCACCCCTGGTTCTGTCACACAGAGAAATACACAATTTCCATCTTATTTGCATTTTGTAAAGTCTGAATCTATACCGATCACTTTTATTAGATTAGAGATGTACAGAGGAGAGGAATTAATTGTTCAAATAGAAAGTCAAATCCAGTTTAACTCAACAGGCCAGTATCACATGCAATGTCTCAATACATTTAACATGCTTACAACATCTACAGTTCCTAACAAAGCCCATATTCATTAAAAAGGCAATGAACCCCTCAAAGTGATACAATTAAAGAGGGGGAAAAAAACATTTAAACCTACAATTACTGTGATTTATATGGACACTCGGGATCAGCGGAAACACGTAGTTACCACAACACTGACATACAGTATGGACCAATTTTAGCATTCATTTGGAGCCACCTGATGAATGTAAATCTAATATTCACTCACCGTTTAGCTCTGTTTTGGTCTTCACCAACTCCTCCGGGAAAGATTTCCTTTTAATTTTTTTTCTTTTACACATCAATGTCTATTTAATGGTCTTCAGCCCCATTTCTTCTATTTGCTTAGGGCTAGCAGCTCGAGGCTACATTCTTTGCTACAAGCTAACTAACTTTGCTATAACACCCATGGAAAGAACCTATATGAGGATATATGCGCATATATGAAACCTATATGCAGTTTATATGCACATATATGATAATATATGTGCTGCATATATGCTGCATATATGCGTATATATGCAGCATATAGGCAAAATTGAGGTGCATATATGTGCATATATGCTGCATATATGCACATATATGATAATATATATGCTGCATATATGCATATATATGCAGCATATAGGCAAAATTGAGGTACATATATGTGCATATATGCTGCATATATGCACATATATGATAATATATATGCTGCATATATGCATATATATGCAGCATATAGGCAAAATTGAGGTGCATATATGTGCATATATACAGCATATATGCACATATATGATAATATATATGCTGTATATATGCGTATATATGCAGCATATAGGCAAAATTGAGGTGCATATACAGGCCATATAGGTCTCCGGTATTGCTTCTTTATATCCACATATAAGCCCTATATGTGGATGCAAGATATGTCTCCTATATAGCTCATGACAGGATCTGGTCATTTTGTAGCTCACATCTCACTTTGGCAACTGTCATACATGATGCCTAGCTCATATTTTCTATTATCAAGGCAATAACTAAGAACTAAAAGAAAATTATGCAAGGACTTATGTATGTGCGAACACGTGAAATTGGTATCACTTGTAATTGGCATGTTATGGAATTTAACAATTAAGTGAGAGGAGATGGAAAGCTATGATGTCTACATGTTTTCCTGAAACATTTACAAGGTCAATTCTTTCTTGTATAAAGATAGTGGAAAAGAAGGAAATGTATAACAAAATGGTTTGTTGTTTTTTTATTTTGTCAATCAAGCCTTTTTTCCCCCCAATTTCAAGTCACTTCCAGATTCACATTACAGCTCATACACAGCCACATATTCACCGTTTCATCCACCAAATGCAATGCAAAATGCAATGTTTTCTGTATTGTCTTAATGCAGTTTCTAGATGAATTTGGCTGAAAGGTCATTAGTCTAAATGTAGCAAAAAAAAACTAAAAAAAAACAAAAGTACATAGAACATACATTCAAGTAATCATCATCATCCCACATCTATCTGAGCATTTCACTGCGGTTAATGAATTTGAAGACAATGTCAACATTTCTGTTCAGTTTTTTGTCTTATTTTTCTTCTTGTACTATTTGATTGTTCTTAAGTTAATGAATAATGTAAATTTCTACATTTTGGGCTATTATTTATGTTGCCTAGTAGCTATGGATTTTTATAATTTTGCTAATATATAGGTAAACATAGGTGCATATATGTGCACTGATATAGGTACACATATAGGTACATGTATGCACGGATATAGGTACACATATATGCATATATGTACATATAATATAGGAAAACGATTTTATATATGTCACATATATTAAAAACCTATATCAAAACCTATATTAAAACATATATGTTTATATAGGTTCTTTCCATGTGGGACATCCCAAACACTGACCAAAACTGCCAATGCTTGAATTACATTGTGGGTATTGTTGGCACCAGGTTTTGCCAAAAAGAAAGTGTAGAATAAAAAAAAGATATCTCTGGCTCTGCTGCATAGATTTCAATACATTTTGTCCATCATGAGTTCAACAACGCTACATGCTAAATCAGTGGAATACTCTTTTAAGGTGCTAAATGCTCCTCTATGTTCACCAGCTAGTTGCTAACTTTATCTGTCTGCCATTTAGTGCTGGGCAGATAGTGTACAGTTTATCTGCATTTCTATCAGCTGCCTGCTGCGGTCCAAAGCTAGACTTTGAGATCAAGGGGAATTAACCAAAACAGTAGAGGCAGAGTAGGGATTTTGGACACAACTTTACCTACTTCCAAGGTGCTTGGAGCAGGGAAAACAGTCGAAAGAGATCAAACACATTACAAACAACATTTAAATAGGGTAGGCATGTAAAAGAAAACAATTTTAAAAAGGTGAGGGAAGTGCAGAGATGTGTGATAATTATCTGTGGGTTCATCAATACGAGTCACCCCTTTCACATACGTATTGTCATTAATAGGTGCTTTAAGTAAAATAATAAAAATGGCCAAAAATGTCAAGAGTGGTTGTTCAAACAGAAATATCTTTAGCATTAGGAGAACCAAATGTGGAAAAATAAAATCATAAAAAGATTTTATAAAAAATGTACAGTGCACTTAGTGGATTTTCTAAACACAAGAAATGTAAGAAGAATAACAATTTTCACAAAAATGAAATGTAAATATGTAACATTGGGTAAACTGAACAACACAGAGAGAGGCAAGGGCGCCTATGCAGGAGCAGGAACACTGCCACAGTCCTACATGTACAAAAATCAAACAGGCCAGTGTATCATGTTTTATGTTCATCCCAGGTGCTTTGAAGTTCCAAGCACAACCAATTCTGTAGTTTTCTCACCTATATCAACTCAACACTGGAACTGTCATCTCTAATGCATTTCTGTATGTGCATTTATAAATACTGCATATAGGAAAGCAGTCCTTGAACCAAGCTTTTGTCAGATTGAATCAAAAATAGAGAGAAGGAGAACTTGCGGGGTGATCACCGTAACTTATGGCCCCACAGATACAGTATTACATAACACTGCCATATGTTGATGTTGGTGTTGATGCTGATGCGTGGGCATGGCAGTGGGACAGCCACCTCCACCAGTGGTGGTTCCTGAGCCAGCTGACTGTGAAACTGCGGTGTAATAATGCCATCTGGAACAGCTGTCAGCCAAGGAATCTCGCTCTGGCTTATTAGGGTAGAGCAGAGTAGTGGGGAGATTCTCTCCAACTCAAAGAGAGGTGAAACACATGGAGGGAAGATGTGAAGCATTGATATGGCAGAGAAATGAAAAGGAATTCACTGCAGGCTGAAAAAGAGGAAGAATAATTTGCTCCAGGCACTAGTAAATTTATTATAGTGAGAAACTGTATTTCAATGCCTTTTGGGTTCATGAGCTTTAGGGGTTTTTTTTTTAGTCCCCACTTGCACTATTTAACCATCAGACAAAAATGGACTACTTGTAGAGGTGGTTTCTTAATTTTAGTAAGCATATGTAAAATACCATAAGCGACCACCCAGTGTCGCATGACCGAAGTTCTATACTAAGGGCACATGATGAGAACTTAACTATCCTCATATATACTGCACAAACTCACAGTAAGGTGTGTGGAAAATCCACAAAAACCAAGTATCTAAGTGGGCCTCCTGTTAAAAAAAATATTATTTGTGAAACTAGTGTTTCAAAGTTCAAGAATGAACTTTCACACTGAGCCTACTGAGAATTTAAAGTTATTTTAAAAAGAATACATTGAGAAGTAAATGAAATGAGTGCAGTGCAGTGCAGGAAATCAATCAAATGCATGGAAACATAAGATAATCTGAAAAGTGGCCAAAGTTGGGGTGCATCATTAGGTGGACCTGTGTGTGTGCAGCATAGTAGCTAAGTGCATCTTTACAGTGTTTGCTTCTGACTGGAGGCACAAAACCTGTTTCTTTGAGATCTAAGGGACCAACTGGGTTTATATTCTTCAAACATATCAGAAACATATTTGGCCTTTGGCTGTTGTGTGATTTATAAACTAGCAGAAGCACTTTGAAATCTGTTCTATAACTGAATTGGAGCTGCTGTACTGTGCTCAATTGTCTTGGTTCTCTTTATGGCAGCAGCAGCAGCCATCAAATGTGTTATCTTTTGAAAAGATCAAGAACAAGAGCTCATTGCACTCTGCTGGAGATGAAGGCATGAATGAGTTTCTCTAAATCTCACGTTGACATGAGACCTCTGATTCTTACTATTTTTAGATGACAAACAACTGATTTAGTCATTACTGCAGCAGTGCTGTGAGCTACAGTCTTGAGTCCATT